GTGGATATTAAAGTTTTCTGTTTTGGTGATTTTAATATAATATATGAATAGGGAAAAAAATACAAGGAAGGATACCTTCAAAAAGAAGGAGTCGGGTTTTTCATTTACATAGTGATTTGAACTTGCAACATAGACAAAGTGGTGAATTAGTAAGAAAAAATGAATTTGGTCTGTTCTTATTATTTGCCTTGTGGGGGTAGATATGACATGATTTGCACTGAAGATGGAAATAAAATCATTAAGAAAAACTAACAAAGGTAAAATAATCTAGGTTAAATTAAGAATGTATGGAGTTTAAAAAATGAATTAAAGAAAAAATTTAAAAGGGCAAAAGTAAACGAGTTAACATAGATTAAATGAAATATCATTTAATAAAATTTTGATTTAAAAGAATAAGTGAGGACATAAATTATGCACTATTTTAATAATTAAGATAGACGAAAGACATTAAGATAGAAAATGAGCAAATTGTAAGAATTTGACAAAAGAATCAAAGTACGGATAGTCATGAAACCCATTTCATTTAATTAGGTATCAAGGAGGGGAAGGTGAGTGTGTGGCAAAAATTCGGTGGGATTTGTGGTGAACTCCACTCATAGATAGATAATATAAAACCTAATTCAAACGTGGATAAGTATGTGTGTAATAAAGGTCACCTAATAATGTATTGTTATGACCAATTCTAAATGTGTTATATATCTGTGTGCCAGTCTATTTAGTTAGGAGGATTCTTTTCACTTCTCTCTGATACCGATGTAAACGCATCATACGATGAAATCTACTTTGAAGTTATGTGTGAAAATTCGTTTTTGTGAAGTATGTGAAAGTTTGTGTTTCTTAAGTATGTAAGTTGTGAGTGTAGATATTAGATAAACATTGTGAAAAGAAATTTAAAAAATAAAAAATAACTGTTTAGATATAAGTGCAGATAAATAGAAAATATAATGAACTTTACGAAAAATAAGAAAAAAAAATGATCAAAATTGGTCGGTTTAGTTAATTGATGTAAAATTTCAACAACACGGGTACGATGGTACATATATAGAAAAAAAAATAATATGAAGATTTTATTGACACTACTAAAATTAGTTAGAGATAAAACATAAATTTAAAATCTTTTATAAATTCAAAGTTGTAACTTCCTATAATGTATTATATCTATTGCATGATTGCGTGCTTTTGCATTTTGCATGTAGTGTTAAAATACTAGTTGTACTTATTAAACAAGTGAAATTCATCCAACTTCATCATTGTGTTTTACAGATTAGGTGAATCTGAAAGTAAGTGTCGGACTAGTGAAGAACAAGTAAAAGAAGTCTAATTTAGACTAGAGATTATGCACTAAAAGATATTCCTGTTATATTATTTTTTTTTAATCTCATGTATTGTAACTATATTTACAACATATTACAAGGGATGTATAGTTATTTTCTATAATACAGTCATTTGTATTATTATATTTGTTAGTTTCAGTAGTTGAAAATGTATGGATCATATGAACATGTAATAAGTATATAGCATGAGATAAACATTTGGTATAAATATAATAATAACTTATTTCTATTTATATATTAGTATCTGTATTTGATGCCATGATATATATAATATCTTATATATTTAAATCTTCCAAAAGTAGAAACATAATTTAATTTTTAGTTAGATAAGTATAAATTTAAGGACTAAACAATGATTAAAAATTTTAAAAGTAAACCAATATGAAAATATAAATAATTTCTTTTTAAGTTAGGTAAAGAGAAAGTATAATTTCTTATTAAAGAGTCTACTTGATTGTAATACATTTGTTTCAATCTTATAAAACAAAAAAAAAAAAAAAGCAAATTGTTAACTAATTTTTTAATTAAATTAATTAGTAAAATTTTAAATTTTGAAAAGAATTAATTGAATAAATTTAATATAATTTTTAATTAAATAATTTAAAATTTAAAATTTAATAAAAAATATAATTACGATAAAGATTTGTTTTTGTTATTGTCGAAATATAAAATTGTAACAACCATAGAAATATTCAAAAGAAATAAATGATAATTAAAGTGTGGAAGCGAAATAAATGTTAGATTTACATTACTTACACAATAACTTAAAGTACCAATTTGTATTTCGGAATTCACCATTTTGAAAGAAATACAAATAAATAAGGAAATAAACGAAAAATAAATAAAACTAGCTTTTTACACGCAGCCCTCTTGCAGATCGGGCTCTGTATCCTGATTCTCTTGATATGAAATGGTTAAATAAGGGATGAGCTACACTAGCTCAGTAAGAATATCACAGTATATCACTGACATAGAAACGAAGGTTGGTAGAAAATCAAAACAACTAATGGAGCACTTAATTTAAACCTACACATTTATTAAAAATAAAACCATTTACCATCCACTTACATCACTGAAATTTACAAAAGTAACCTATAGAGACAATAACATAACACTTATCATGATTTCATATGCAATTGGTAACAAGCACACATGATAAATCCATATTGAATAAATCAAACAACAATCTTTCCTTTTATCGGCCTACTGGTATCTATGGGAGTTTATAGGGATGTCCCTGCTACGTGTGAATTCTTTTTCATCAACATTCTCAATTAAAGGGCCGTCCCCATACCCCGTCCGGTATGAGCACCAAACCATTAAACCTCAATACCTCGTCCGGTATAAGGGTGAAACGAGCTGTCCCCATACACCGTCCGGTATGAGCACCAAATTACCAAGTCTCGATATCCCGTCCAGTATGACATAACATTCACGGTAGGATTTTCTATTGTACCCGGTCTGTCCACCATCTCCTAGGATATCTAGTAGGGCTGTCGTTTTATCCATTCATTTAATCACATAATTTTTCCATTTTCTTTTAGTCTTTATTTTTCAAATCAACTGTAATCACATAAATAAACAAACATGCATCAGGGAATGCAATCATATCTCAGTTTTCTAATTTAACAGTAGTCACGTGAGGCAACAATACATGCATTCAAACCATAATATTGATAAATCAGATACTATCATGCATTTAAACTGTAAAATAAATCAACAAAAATCAACAGAGAATAATTTTCAATTCTGACTCTATTAGTAACCCATAATTAATTATAGATACCTTCTAAGTTTTACGAAATAGCATATTATTTAAAATTAAACTTCAATTCTATAACAGAGGATAGAGTGAGAGATTCTTACTCAATTTGGTACCCAAAAAGCTAAACTGTTCATTGCGCTTACAGACGGTTCCCAGGTTCCTTGAATTTTTCTTCAAAAATCAAAACGCGCTATAAGTACCTAAAAATATCTTAAACAAACCCAAAATCAGTCTCAAGGCCCATTTTGGCCAATTTCAGAATTCTGGCACGACGGCTCCGCCGCTCGCGGCAGTCCATCTCGGATCGGCTGTTTTCGGTCGATTTCGCATCAATCCCTGTGAGAAAACATGTTAAGGGGTCTCGGTTGGCTGAAAAAATACAAAAAACTGAAACTCACCGGTGGGGGGGCTCCCCATTGCAGCGGCTCCTCCGGCTCACGTTGCAGTTGAGTGTTTTGTTCTGGTCAACCTGTAGAGAAAAAAATGGTGATCACAACGGCGAAAAAATCACGCAAAACGGGAATCGGGAAGGGTCTCATCGAAGGTATTTTGTGAAATTCTCTGCAGCGGCGCCGCCAGGCTTTGCCCACATTTTTCGGCCAATCGACTAGTCCTTTTGCTCCAGTTTGGCCATGGTGTGTTTAAAATTGAATTTCAAGTAAAAAGAGAAATTTTCACTTTTTTTGGCAGTTGGAAAGAGCTCTGGTGCTGCGGCAGGTAGCGGCAGTCTCCTTTTTGGCGGTCGGGTCTTCTTCTCCGGCAAGGGGGTCTTCTTCTTCGTCTGTTTTGATCTAGGCCGTCTATCGTATTTGATCTGAACCGTCCGATCGCGATTAAATAGGGAGTGAATCTGGACCATTCATCGCAATCCAATATGGGCTGTCCATCGCGATCTAATCTGAGCCGTCCGTGCGCGCGGAGTGGATCTAGGCTATTCGATCGCGGGCAAGCGGATCGTTCGCGTGGTCTCTCGCGTTGCACCGCGTTAGTGTCCGCTGCCATGCGGCGCGTCCTGATTCATCAGGCCTGCTGACCGGGCATCTGAAGTGGCAAAACTTCTCTAAATTATATTTTAACCTCCGATTTTCAGTTTTTCTTTCAAAAATACCCCAAGAAC